TCTATTAGAATTTATGCTGCATTAATTCTCGAAAAATATTAAATATGAACAGTGTTCAGTTATTGAACACATACATTTTAAAAAAAACCTGAAAATGACTTATAATAACATGATCCATATCTAAGGAATTTTTGAAGAATTCAAATAGTATCATCTTTTCAACGAGAAATTTAGAAAAATATAGTCAACATAGTGAATAGCTTCTGTGAGACTTCTCGATTTGACGATTTTATATCGATATCAAAATGCAATGAGGCATCAACCTAACCTAGCCCACAGAAAATGTATAAGTTAAAATAAAATATTTCTTTAAAAAAAAACAATCATTTCTAAAATATTAAAATTATCATTTTTTTGATTAATATGAGTTCCTATTATTGGGTGGCCCATCGAAAAAAAAAATTTCGGTATCTCTGTCTTGGTGCAAAGATTATTGTAATTTGGTAAAACGTTAAAATCACTTCACTGACCATATTCGACAAGTCATTTTGTTTATTTTTACAACTCAATTATTCGGTTTTTAACTATTGCAAGCTATTTAACACATATGTGACCTATAATGTTCTGTAGATTCTAGATACTATTATGCTTAGATTAACACATTAAATTAATAATAATTTATCAAGAAAGATATCTGTCCACGAGAAATATAGACACCAAATTTGAAAACAACAATTTTTAAACAAAAGTGCTAACATTCATTATACATATTATTATTATACCTACTAGAATTAACAGCATTAAGACATTCTACAACATTAATTTTGATTTATAGCATATGTGTGCATATAATGGAAATAAAAAAAAGTTTGTAATCAATTTGTAACAAATAACACCAACAAAATAAAAATAATACGTTGTTATTGAATAGATATGAGAAATGTTCCAGAAAAATAATGAAGTTTTATGTTAAAAATGAATAACTCATGTTTTCATAAAACAAGAGCTCTATCAACATTTGTAAATATATCACATGATATAATACTGTCATAAATTATAATAAATTATCTGTCAGCAACACAAATTTTGGGATAGAAAATGAATATTTAAAAGCATACCCTACACTAAAATTTACAATTATTCAAAAATTCAATTCCAGCAAACACTATAACCATCCACATATGTCATTTTAACTAATCTAATTTAAACTCATGTTTAATTATCTGTGAGCTAATCTAAGTATAAAATATTTAATAATCGAATGTAAAATTGGAAAAAATATATAATATTTTATAATGATTCAGCTACAGGAGAAAATGTTTAATGTACCTATACAATATTTATCTATAGATCGTTACACCGATGTACTATTATCCATTCACACAGTTTTAAAAATCAATTAAATTTTATGATACCATGGCCTCACTATAATACCTGATAATATATGCGATACGATTTCCGATTTCAACCAAAAGCCACGGAGATATAAATAAAACAATTATTATTGTTTGTAAACTAATATATTTTTTGTTTTGGAATGTGAAATTTATTAAAAAAGATATTAAATAACTAATGAAAAATATCTAGTGATTTTCATGATTCCTGAAAACGAAAAATATTAATTTAGAATTCCATAATGCATACCCTGCAACTGCTTTGTATTATGTTATTCAATTTACGCGTAACATCGTTTTGCGTTTACTAATTCGCCCTTATATTTGAAAATAATAATTGAAGTACGGTGTGTATAAATTAATAAAAAAACTAACCGTATTCTAGTTTATTTATAGAACTATAATACCTACAGTGAAGCACTGGACTGGTTAATAGGGTTCGGTTTTGCAATATAGCACTAAAATCCGGTCGGTAGACCGTACTATAATAGACTAAAGCAGTAAAGCAATATCCGATGTTATCATTTTAACCACTTGGAATAGGTTGAGCGATGTGCTAAAAATCTATGGTAATAAAATTACAATTAAGCACCATAGTATTTAGGTACTGTACTTACTACTTACTGAAATACAGTAAAATATTTTACCATCAGAAAAGTATAAAAAGTATTAAGAAGAAAGTGTATATTTAATTAATTAATTACGTCTCGAATTCCGCTTATTTTAAACTCTGGGCGGCACGAGTCTTACGATGATGTATTTTTTTCCGGCTAGCACTTTCTCAGGCAAACTAAACCCTAACCAATTTTCTGGCAGCATTTATATTATAATTGTTGTATGTATAAATTTTATTTTAATATCCAACGAATGTTCGTTAAAATTACTATGAATTACCACAAATTAATATTTAGCAAAATAGTGTTATAACTCTCCACAGTTTTTTTATTTTGAAACTATATCAAAGTTTTTATAATTTTTTATTTTGGTGTTCAATAAAATATTTGAAAAATGCAATCTTACAACTACATTTTTCTCATATTAACGCTAAAAACCGGATAGGCAATGTTGTGCATTTCAATTTGAAAAAAAATTACTTAATTATTCGTTATGGTATTCAATGCAAAATATAAAAGTATCAAAAGAAAATAATAATATTTTTTGGAACAAAGTTGAAAGAACATCTAGAGAATAGGATATATATTCAACAATAAAAGAACCATTCAAACCAATACATCACAAGGTTTCATTATAAATCTAAAATTAACACGAATTGCAACATTTATTAATTATTTCTTAGTAAAAATAGCATAATTAATAAGTGTTTTTAATTATTAGACATACAAAATCCATTTACCACATGTACAATATTTCTTTTTCAACGGACATAACAACCAAATGGTGTTTGTTTAATGACCCAAATACGGTCAGAAAACTTCGGTTAAGAGTAATTTTGCTACGGGCAAAGTACAAGAGTTTCCAAGTGTTGTAATTAATTTGAAGCTGATTAAACTTTTAGGTTTCTCCAACGTTTTAATTTTGGAACTTATTATCTGTATTTTTTACTGCATGCATTTTAATGATAACTATAAATTAATAATATTTTCAATAACTTAATAATTGTGTATATTACATTCAGATTGGAACAAATATATTGGTTTACGAGTATATTTTTTATAAGCACTGTGAAATTGATTATTTTGACCTCTTCCCCCATCCCCTACACCAAAAATCAAAGTAAAAACTAAATCTAATTTGCTGCCAAAAACTTCATTTTGAAGTCAGCTGTATTTATCTATCATAAAAAGTGCCCTCAGACGAAAAAAACAAATTTTATTTCTAATCCAAAACATTACTAGATTAATTACAATTTACAATAATTCAGAGTTCTCTGTATATTTAATTTAAGTTTAAATTAATTAATTAACATAAATTAATACATATTAAATAATGAATATATAAAATAGGATCACTTCAATATTCTTAGTAGCAGGTATTTATGGAATCCCAGTACAAAACATTATGTAGTTTTTTTTTTTCTTATATATAATTATTTTAATTAAAAAATTATTAGAAATATAATTTTTAATATAATAATATGTACCATTTCGTTATTTATATCTTAGTTACATTTCATTTAAAATAAATTGTTGGGACTACAATTTAGTATCTGAATGATTTTACAAATATCGGTTGAAAATAAAAACATTTAAGTATTAATATTATAATCACTACTAATATTATTTTACACGTACAATAGCTAATTTAATCTTAACTTTTTTTCAAACTTTAAACAAACAACAAATTGTATACATTTCATGGATCACTATTGATTTCATAAGTTTATTGACTGATTATCAAATAGGAATATTTAAAAAAAAATGTTGTTTTAATTTTATATAGTTTTATACTTCAACATATTCATTATAAGTTATTTATTTAAGTATATAATATTTTGATAAAATATTTAGTTCTACTGTAAAAATAAATACATTATCCGGTCTAATACTGCAATTAGGGGACATAATATTGAATTTGATTAAAAAATAAAATATTTCCAAATATATTTAATATTATTATCATACATATGATTCTGTACTAAAATAATCGTGTGGATCAGACGATTTTAATGTATCTAAATACCATATAGTTGGTCTGATGATTCCTTTACATGCTAACACTAATAACACCAATCCTAAGAAATTTGACGAAGTTTCTCCATATTCTAAGAATATATTCCAAACAAGCACAGATGATGAAATTTAAATTCAAAACAGCACTCTTCCAAGATACTATATGTCAAATTCCAATGAAAGGTAGTTTTTTCATCAATTTTCTCGGTTCTCGGTCAAAATGCTTTCAAACAATAACTTTTTAACACAAAGGATATAATGTACCTATAAGTCAAGACGATTCGTAAACTTTTGTTTACATAGAACAACAGTTTTAAACAAACTTCTATTATATAACTGACTTATAATATAAAATAGTAATTCTTAATTTCACATCAAATTCGAAAAATAATTTTTAGCTTTAACACTATGATTTATTAATGTAGTATGTGTATGCAATGATTTACTTAAACTACGTAATTTAATCTATTAATTTATATTTTCTTACTATGTGTGTCTAATCATTTACCATTAAATATTAATGAGTGACCAATAACCATAAAATCAATTAAATACGCATTATATATAAATATATTCTATCGGGATGGAGTGAACTTTAGTTTAAAAGGTTCGACCAATAAATTACTTACGAAAAAAAAAATGTTCTGATGTGTGCCTTTATTTTCTTCCAGATTTAATACGTTTTATACGATTTAATTAATCAATGTATTTATATTATTGCTTGTATGTGGAAATTGTCATTTTTTGAACAATAAATAAATATTTAGAAAAAAATTATAGGTACGTATAGCCGTATAGGTAATAATATCATAGGTGTTATAATTGCAATTAGAACATATTATCATTAAACTTGCAGGCATATGAAACCACCGAGTCAAAAATATCGTCTACGAGCACGTGCTTAAAATTTCGTAGTCGTGTTCTAAAAAAATTAGAGTAACGATGGAACACCATAATATTATAATGGTGATGATGACACATCAATCGAAAAATGAGGCAAAAAAATGTGATAATCAATGTGGAAAAAAATACGTACTTGACGGTGGCACTCTGCGTGCGGACGAAAAAGAGCTCGCATCCGAGGGGAGACGATCGTGACCGGTCCGGCGGCGGCGGATGAACACGCGGCCAGATCACACGGTAGCCAGGCGGCACATGAATCGGCCGAAAAAGCAGGAGACGGTGGTGACGTATGAACGCGTCCCCCGGTGGCGGCGGCGACGGTTACTTTGGGTCATGACGACCAGAGGGCGTCCAAGGTGGGGAGGAGGATCGATCCTGAATCTGACAAGAGGTTTTGCCAGGAGTAAACCGTTTGCCGCCCTGTCGTCGCCGCCCCAGCTCTGCCCCTCACCGGAGCCACTGTACTACTACACCGGTGCACATCTAGTGTAATTGTGTATCAGATCCTAGTCGGCGTGCGTGTGTGTGTACGTGTGTGTGTGCGTGTGTGGGTGTGTGTGCGTGTGCATTATTATAGGTGTGCGAATGTGTGTGGCGGCGTAAGACTATAGTGCATTATTCGCCGAGACAATATGGCATATCCGTGACGTCAAAATCTAACCCCGGGGAAAAAAAAAAATAATAAAAATGTTTCGAATAAATTCCGTATTGTTGTGTGGGTAATGCGCGCGCAAAGGCCGAGGGAAAACGATACTAGTAATGGATATAGCCGCAGACGGACGCAAGTGTGTGACCTTCTGTGTGTATGTATATACAACTAAACACATAACAATATATACCTATAGCCGACTTGCTGACTCTTCCGAGAAGTCTGAGGGAAAGTGAGAGAGGAAGGCGCCGCGACGGGTGTTTTTCTTCGGTGTATATATGTACATATATATATATAGTTTCAAGTTTGGTCCTTCTGGACAGGAATCCATCCGCCGATATTGTATACGGTTTCAACTTTGAAAGTACCTACCCGTATACATAATAGTAAAGTCTTTACATATTAAGCCGCGGATGACGTGAGTCACACTTGAGACTTGACGGGAAAGACATGAATAGTGGTACGTGGACGTTCGGATAATTCAAATCTGCACTATATTATGTACCTACCAGCATCCCGTCAATTAAAAATAATTATAAACGTGAAAACAAAACTGTTTGTTTAAATACTTCAACAACAATTATTATGATCGAAAACTTTTTGTACACTTTGAAACAAAAATAATTAATACTAAGTTAATCTCTCAAAAAATCAAAACATGCCCTTAATATTTTTTTTTAAGCTTCAAATTAAAACGACTACAGTATTATTTTATGTTAGTTATGCATTTCAAAAGACGACTTAAGCTTAAAAATTTTCAAGAAAGCGTCAAGACAAGACAGGGTAGATATACTCAACTGAAAATATTTAAATTATTTTATTATTAACACTAAATTATTATATTCGATATTCAAGTATAAAATAGTGTGCCTATTCAGTTTTTTATAAGCCCAAAGATAATAAATGGAATGTCCAAAGTGAGCCTTTTCCGTCATTATTGTCTTAGAACAGCTGAACACAATAAATGTCATTGGTATTTGATACATGCTAACGACTCCTTAAAATACTTCTAAATTTTTTTTCTTTTTAAATAAGGTAAATTATAATATTTGATCGAATTAAATTTAATCATCAGGTGAATCGTTGGCCAATTTTAATCATTCGTTCTTGAATACTTATAAGATTTAAGTTACAGTTAAGTCAAATGCATAATTTATTATTTTAATGTACTTAAATGTTACCGTGTGGCTATCCTATTTGATGACTGCGGGAAATAGGTAATATCATATATTATTATGTCGCATGTATGAGATAGATACAAATCATTGTAAACAAAAATCTTAAACGTTTAGGTTAGAAAAAATATACCATTAAAATACAATGAATAAATCCTTTCACTTTGTTCAAAATTAAAATAATTGAAGAAAAAGTACCTACATAAAAAAAATACATTGTATTATTCGAGTGAATAACTCATGTCTTTTGAAAAACTCTTGAAAAATAAAATGTGTCACAAAAAAACTGTGTTTACGGAACAATAAAAAAACTATATAATATTTTAAACCAAATATGTATATAAATTTGTTATTTTGTAATCTATCTACGGTCTACATGAAACGTTTTTTTTACGTATCCAGTTATATTAATAAAAAATCTAATCTAATAATTTATTATAATATGTGTAATAAGTTTTTAAGCTTGAAAATACCTACTTAAATTTTATCTCACAACCATTAATTATGAAATATCTATTAATGAATTTTATAATTTAATTATAAACCTAAGTCAATTGAATAAATGATCAGCTATGTAATTGAAGTATGACAACTTTTTTTAATGATATTATAAAAGCAACGAAATATTACGAAAATTCGTTAAAAACTATTTTAATCAGAGAATATTATGAAAGTGTAAGTTAAACACCTCTGTCAAGAGGACAGAGGTACTAGAGCCTATATTATAGGCTCATGTCGCTAATGATTATTCTTGTGTCAACGTAGTTTCAAAATATTTATGAAGGGGAATTTGGCTCATAGCACGTGCACAAAGAACAGTAAACAATTTAAAATTCTATATGAAATGAGAGTATAAAATTATACAATATTAAGACACGAGTACACAACGTGCTTTTAAATATTTTAATGTTTGACTGACATTACCCTGCAATGCCTCAAGTCACAATTAATATTTACTTTTAGCACATGAGATGCAAACATAGTGTTCATCTATGTCATACTGATTATCGTAAGTAAATTTGATAAAATTGAAATCGACACTATAATACACTATTAAGTATTAGGTATATTCTTTTATACATCCGAGTTTAATTTGAATTGACTGTATTAACTCAAATACTCGTAACAGTCTAATATTACCTATAACTACACATTTCTCCAGTGTAAAATCATCCCCTAAGAAAATTAATTTGAATTTTAAAACACTGCGTTGGACGTAAAGGCAATATCATAAAAACCTAAACTTCATAAAGAAAAAAATAATCTCAAAATAGAATAAAACAAAGAATTTAATTATTCAAAGCTATAGGCACATGAATAAGTACTATAAATATTTAACAGGTTAATACAACATTATAGTATGACCTGTAAAGTTAAGGCGACCGGTGTTAATGTGATTTTTGTCTTCAAAAACACACTTAAGGGGGATAATGATCCTGCCCTGTAGAATCAACCAAATTTTTTTTTTTTTTGAATTGATATAGCAAAATATTTTACAGCCCGCATCGAACTTTTGTTTTCAATATGTTAATCTCAATAGCTTAATAATAAGTCTTTAAAAAAAATGATAATTTTCAGCTTTTTTTACAAAATATTTTATACCATTATTCAAAATGAGATGAAATATCTGAGTTTAATGTGAACTGTTTAATGTAATATTGCTGTTTATTAATTCAAATAAAATTACTTGAAACTATTCAGTTTTCAACGAATTATTTATATTCCCTTGAAGTCATTTTTGTCCGCCGAAACGTCCAAAACGAACAACTAAATATTTTTTTATTTGTAAGTTAATGACACCTGCCAGCAATGTTTATATACCTTCGAACTCACACTAATAACCATGTACACTATTACATACTCACAATACGGTGCGACGCCAAAACGATATGTAAATTAGGTTGCTAATAATTTGCTCCTTAATAAATAGCCAGCACCGGGCACCTCAAAAAGAAATAATCAATTCAGCTGTGGTCTTACATATTTGTAAAAATGGCATGCAAAAATGATTTAATCTCGGGTTAGACTAATTATTGACCAAACTAACCCTTAGATTAAATTAGAATATTTAATTATTTTTGAAATATCCCCCACACGTCGTTGTAAAATAATAAAATGTACATAAAAATATTATAAAAATTATATAATTTTATTATATTTAAATTATGTTTATTCAAAATATTTTTTTATTTTATTAATTTTTATACGTCTAAGCATAAAATAAAAAAAATCTTAAAGGGGGAGTAGTTGAACACCCATACCCCACCATACACTCCCCTCCCCCCTCCCACACACACACTGTGTACGCCGCCACTGGTTATCATTGTACAATTATTACTATATTATATTGTTTTCCTAGTAACATATATAAGGGTAATACAATGAAACTCTCGTATATTATACAATCTCTTGGGCAACAAAAATAATTCATATATTATAGAGAAATTCGTTGAATATAATTTAATTAATTTTGTAAAAAACTGATACGGTTCCCAAAACAATTTTGTTAAAAAATGTTGTTGAATGAAAATCCATTATATGCAACTTTACTGTGTAATAATAATACTAATTTTCTAAATTTTCTAATACATGTTTCGAACTCCTATTAAGTTCTGTTATGCCTGTTTAGTATTCTTCAACTTCTTATTTGTTTCATAATCAGATATTCTTCCACCCCAATACCCCATAACCAAAAACCAACATACACACGACTACACGAGTACACCACTTCGTCTGAATAAAATAAACTTCAACATTCATGCATTACGATGTGTGAAATTATCTATTTTCAGTCTTAACTCTTCTTAACGTTACAGGTACCTGTATGCGCATACAATCAAAACGGAAAACAGTGATAAGTTATTGACTATACATAGGTAGCGAAATCGTTTCGAAATAGTTTTCTCTAACACACAATTACGTGTTGTGAACACGTAATAATTATAATATTTATGAACGTCTATGCTAGACATTATGTATAAGTTAAGATTAAGATACAATCTCAAAATGCGAATATATTATAATGAATGAACGCATATTGATTTTTACATAATATTATCAGATTTTTATTTCATCCATATCATCCGCGATAAGTGTAGGTCGTCGATAATCTTTAATGTCTATAATATCTATTTTATTCCCCACAAAATTTGTCATCCAGCATAAGCGATTATATGTGTACGCGTATAGGTAATATTTACCATCATTCATCACCGATTGCTCAAACACATCATACGGTCAGCAGAATACATCGTAATTCGTTGGTATTACATAATAAATCCACGGTATTAGGTGGGTACTCATTATTTCTATTATATCGGAGATTACAAAGTAGGCATATCTGTATATATCTATAATCTATATAGGTAATATACTATATATATAACATATATATTCCTATGATCGGTTAACCTCAATGACACTTTTGAACCACTCCGTGTT